AAATACATAAAGCGATAAAATTAAAAAATGATGCTTTGAAAATGATAGATAAGGCTCCATATCCCATATAAACATCGTTTCAATGGAAAGTCCGCTGCTCAGTTTATGATCCCTAATCTTCCTCTATACTACCGAAATCTTCGGTAGTATAGAGATTCTATTCATTGATACCCAACTGTTCTAACCTTACAACCAGTAAGTTTAGTAGAAGAATATTTAATTATTCATTAATTAATACGTTTCTTGTATTTTTAATAAACAAACTTTATCTACTAATTCATTTTTATTGATGAACAAAGTCAGGGATAAGACACTGAGAAATTTAAATCAACTATTCAAAGTTTTTATTCGTTGGTACAAAACCAATTTTATCCTGCATAAAGCTAGGTGTCCACTTGAGAGAAACTTCTGAGAGTAACTCTCGATATCTACTCCCAACTCTGTGTCCACTTGAGGCTGTTTTAGCTCTCCGAGAGCTTCTATAAAACTTCAGGGAGCTTTCTCTCAGACATTTCTCTCAGGACCGTGTCCACTAGTGAAATGTGTCCGTGCTATGGAAAGTAAAATTTATTTTCTTTCAGTGCTTGGTGTTTGTAAACATGGATGTAAACTAAATTGCAAGTGCAATAGTGTTGTACAAAATTTCAAAAAAAAAAACAAACTGAAAAAATAAAAAGAAGCTGTTGGGTGAAATCATGGATGTGGCGTAGATTAGAGCTGGGTGTCAACAAATATCAACATTCGTTGTCAAATTGTTAGTTATTTGGCATACTAGATTCACAAAAAAGTGAACACGATTGCTTTAATGGCACTTATAAATGCAAACTATAAGTTTATTGTCGTACACGTGATAGCTTAATAGTGGCTTGGCAGTATTTTGGAAAATTATTAGAAAATATAAACTTAAACGCCTCAATTGCTGAAAGAGACTAGATATTGCTGACAGACGACTAAGTACTACTAATGAAAGACTAGATGTTGCAAATGAAGCAGATTCTTCTTACAGAAGACTGCACACTACTACCAGAAGACGAAATACTGTTGGTAGAAGACTAGATATTGCTGCAAAAGACTAGATATTGCTGACAAAAGACTAAGTATTGCTAGTGAAAAACTAGATATTGCAAATGAAGCACATCCTTCTTACAGAAGACTACACACTACTACTAAAAATCAAATACTTTTAGCAGAAGACTTAATTTTACTGTCAGAACACCAAATTATGTTGTCAGAAGTTACTGTTACTAATGGTACAAATCCCGTTTAAATTTCTGTCCAATACTTGTTAAAATTGCATCCTTCGCTTCCCGATTTCTATGTTCATTAGATGTGATATTCCAAAGAATTGAATTTTCTTCATACACTTCAATTAATTCAAATATTTCTTTTTGGGACTATTTTCTTTTAGGTGTTATCTTTAAACGTGTTATATTGAGAAAATTCACAGCTACTCGCAGCAAAATTCGAACCGTGTTCGGTTTTTGACAGTTACTCTCACGATAGATAAATTGTGCGTGTCCACTTGAGTACAAATCTCAACGTGTTTACTCTCCGAAAGTTTGTGGGGACTCTCTGATAGTTACTCTCAGATGCGTGTCCACCAGAAAATATACTCTCGATAGCTTCTCTCTCGAGAGCATTTCTCGCAAGTGGACACTTAGCTTAATGGTACAAGACCAACATTCTGTCATATTCGTGCAAAACCATACAGCAAATAGGTAGTAATTAGTAATTACTGTCCGAACCCGCCTACTATAATCAAAATTTTGAACTTTAGCGCTTACTATTTTGGAATTGAAAATTAACGCTTAATTTCAGCAAATGCACCATACATGCGATACATCATTGGAAAGCTAAAAATATGCTCTTTTCATTAACATCATAATCAAGTATAGTTTGTATTTAAAAAAATACAACTTTGTGTTGTATCTCAAAAATCATCAAATATTTTTAAAATTTTTCAACGGCAGTATATTCTACCTAAAAAACTGTCCTAAGAACGTATCAACCTCATTTCTCTAATTTCAAAATAAACGAAATATGAGCATTTTTTGAAATCACGAAAATTTGACTTTTTGGCTATAACTTAAAAACAAAACAAGATAGAGGTTTGGTGTTTGCGGGATTTTGTTAGTCGCGAAAAAAGAAACCGGGACATGGCACCTACTTTTTTCGTATTTCTTATAGTTTCTGAGATAGCCTATAATAACACCCAAATTTGCCCACCTACATACTCCGCTGCGTGGGTTACATCTTGGAGAACATTAACTCCTTAAGGATGTACGGTGATGTTCACCCATATGAAACGCATGGGAAAGAGAACCTCTACCCAGACTTTGTGCGGTTATGCAAGACAAAATTAGGACCTATATACACGGGACAAAAATTGTATAATCACCTGCCACATAGTGTGAGAGCTCTTCCAGCGGATGGGTTACTTGGGGAGTTAACAAAATTCTTGCTAAAGAAGGAATTAGAATCCCTATTCTATACAGGAATTCTTTGGCACCTCCGTAGACTTGTAGCGCTTGAGAATTTCATTTTCAATATGATTCATTTTTCTTTTTGTATTTTTAATTTTTTCTTTTTTATATAATATATTTACTATAGATTGACGAGTGTAAAGAGTGTAAGTTTCTTATAAGCACAATAAAAAATAATAAGCCGTCAAAATATTAGCTATAAAACGCGTTTTAATTAACGAGAATATAAAATGTTGTGATTCTCTTGAATTAATATATTTTTATTTAGGGGTGGATAGATATAGGGAGGCCAGGAGAGGATACAGAGAGTTATGCAGTAGAAAGAAAACAGAACTGAGGGAGAAGGAAGCGGCAGAGATTAGAGGGATAACAAGGGAAGGGGAGGTCTGGAGGTATCTGTAAAAGAGAAAGAAGGGTAGGGAGAGGATAATCAGCGAAATACACATGACAGAATGGAAGAGTTACTTTATGGGATTATTGGGAGAGGTTGAAACGAGGCTAACGGGTTTGGGAGGCTATGAGGGAGATGGGGGACAGGAGATAGCAGAAGAGGAGATGGAAGCAGTGCTTAGGGGATTGAAGAAGGGAAAGGCGCCAGGGGAAGATGGCATCCAGAACGAGGCATGGTTGGAAGCATCAAGGGTGGTGAGAGTGAAGTTGTTGGAGGGGATGAATAGCGTATGGAGAGGGAGTGGGATTCCGGAGGAATGGAAAGTGGGGGTAATTTGCCCAGTATATAAAAAGGGTAATAAGGGAAGGGTAGAGAGCTACAGAGGAATTAACCTACTAGACTCGGCATACAAGGTATACACGAAGATACTGCTGGGAAGACTGGAGGAGGAGATGGAGTTGGGGGGAATTTTGCCGGATGGGCAGGCAGGCTTTCGGAAGGGAAGGGGAGCAATCGACAACGTGTACGTGTTGAAGCATCTGGTAGATAGAGAGCTGGATAAGAAGGGAGGGAAATTGTACGCCCTGTTTATAGATTTGAAGGCGGCTTTTGATAAGGTGGATAGGGGAAAGTTGTGGGAGGAGATGGGGAGGAGGGGGATCACGGAACACCTAATTGCGAGAGTGAAGGAAATATACATGGAGACTATGGCTAGGATAAAAGTGGGAGATAAGCTGAGCGACGTGTTTTGGACGACGAAGGGACTGAGGCAGGGATGTCCGCTGAGCCCAAGTCTGTTTGCACTGTATACGGCGGACCTGGAGGATAGATTGGGGAAGGGGCAAATGTAAGGGTTGGTGGTGGGAGGTAGACAGGTGCATATGTTAGCATACGCGGATGACATCGTGGTCATGGCGAGAGAAGCGGCGGAGATGAAAGATATGATAAAGACATTGGAAAGATATTTTAGGGGGAAGGAGCTGGAAGTGAATGTAGGGAAGACAAGGACGATGAAGTTTTGTAAGGGGGGGAGAAAAAGAACAGAAAACTGGAGATGGGAGGGAAAAGAGATCGAGGAGGTTAGGGAGTATACTTACTTGGGGTATGTGTTCAGGGAGGGGTCGCATGTGATAGCTATGGCAAAAAAGGCGAATAAAGTGATGGGACAAGTATGGGGTTGGGGGAAGAGAGTCTTTGGAAGGAACGTGGCAGCGAGGAAGATTATGTTTGAAGGTCTGGTTAGCAGTGTGATGATGTATGGAGCAGAGGTATGGGGATTGAGAAAGCAGGCAATGATGGAGGACGTGCAAGCTAGATACTGGAGATGGGTGCTTGGGGTGGCGAGAGAAACACCGGGGTATATAGTGAGGGAAGAGGTAAAGGTGGATAAAGTCAGGGTGGAGGGGGGCAGGAGAGCAGTGAAATATGAAGAAAGAATAGAAGGGAGGCCAAACTGCGGGATCTTGGGGGAGTGTTGGAGGGAAATTAGAGAGGGAAAGATCAGATATGGGAAAGGAGACAGAGACAACTATTATAGACGAGCGGGCTACTCGGTAACTGAGATAAATAGTAGACGAAGGGTGGGTAGGGAGATGTGGAGGGAGTTGAGAGATAGGGACCGAGATGTGCAGAGACAGGAAAGAAGGACACAAATAAAAGAGGGGAGGTATAACGAAAGGTACAGGGACATAATTACGGAGGGGCTGCCGAGATACTTGTTATTGGAAGGAGATGAGGAAGGGAAGAAGTTGGTGGCTAGGTTCCGTTGTGGAAACGAGGAGAGAGCTAACAGATACTGGATGGCCGATGAGGAGAGGTGGTGTAGGCTATGCAGGGAGGAATGGGAAACGTTGGATCATAATATGTGTTGAATGGGTGCAGTGAGTTGAGGGAGGAGGAGTTGGACCGAGGGCAGATCTTAGGAGAGGGGAGAGAGGGGAAACGATGGATGAGAATGGTTGTGGGGGTGAGGAGACAAAGGGATGGATGAGGAGAGGATTGGAGAGGAGCCGAGGAGCCGAGGGTATGGAAATGGAGGAAGAGGGTAGAGGGTGAAAATAATATACTAATGACATATATTAGGATATATTAAGGGGAAAATTGTAATTATCAAAAACAATAAAAAATGCTTATTATTATTTTTATTTGCATAGTACTCCAAGTACATCAAAGATATAAATTCAATTAATTTTTGAATGCCTTTATGAAATAGATTTTTGATAATTAAAAAACACATTTTTCAAATCCTGATGGAGTGAAACTCCAGTCGATTTTTTTGGTCTCAATTATGTTTCTGTAGGCGTAAGCTGACATTTTCAATGTTCTTGTACGTTCTGGACTCTCGAAATCCACTCGAATTAATCCAAACTTTTTGCTGTAAATTAGAAAAAATAAGATTTAACAGTTTACAATAACAATTTTTTGCTCAATACCTATATCCTCCAGTCCATTCAAAGTTATCCATAAAACTCCACGCTGTGTACCCAGATATATTGCATCCTTCATTATGTATAGCGTTTAAAAGTGCTTCTAAATATTTCTAAAAATATAATTTCTAATAACATTTTATAAATACTGTAGTATTTTTGTACATAGTGATAATTGATTCTTCTACAATCTTGAAGACCACCTTTGTCGGAAAACCCATTTTCAGTGATGATAACCTCTGGATTTCCGTATTCGTTTTTAATCCATTTCAAAATGTTTCCGAATCCCCACGGCACAGAACGAATCCACCAAGAAGCTCCAGCTTCCCATAGTGGGTCCTGAGACAAAGACGAACCAAAATCGGAATCTTGAGATGGCCCTCCGGATATGTTGGCAGGAACTGCATAAGCACTTGTGTAGTGATTAAAACCGAAATAATCAGATGTTCCTCTTATGTAACTAATTTCCGCTGGCGTAAATTCCGGTAATCTCGATTGTGCGAAATTTTCTTGTTTGCTCATAAAACTAATGCGCTCTTTCATTATTGGAGGATAATCACCTTTTTTGGAGAAAATTGGATGTGCAAACCAACCAAACTAACAATAAGAGTATTAAACAAGTAAGTTTTATAAGATAAAATCAAGAAAAATGTACCTCCATTTGAAGTCTTTGGTTGGCGGCTTGAACATTTTCTTTACTCGAACTGCTAGGTTCATACCAAATTCCTTGTAATGAAATACCGATTTTTCCTTTTTGACTTTTTCTGAACTCCTTATCGTAAAGATGATAAGCTTTAGCGTGGGCAATTAATAAAGTATGGCCACACAAATACAATCCAACTCCTCGACTTTTTAAGAAAGGGGCCAAAGCTAATAAACCACCCTCATAAGACCCAGCACACAAAACAGAAGGTTCATTAAAAGTTATCCAGTATTTTACTCGATCACCAAAGTTTTCATATGCAATCCTAACGTATTCTAGAAAATAATCAGCCATTAACGGATTTGTCCATCCTCCAAGATCTTGAAGCGGTTGAGGAAGATCCCAGTGGAAAAGCGAAACCATTGGTTCAATTCCGTTGGCTGTTAAAGCATCGAGAAGCTCGTTATAGTAACGAATCCCATCGGGATTAATTTTATTTTTAAATCCAGTTGGGAGGATTCTAGACCAAGATAAGGAAATTCTATAAAAATTGACCCCAAGCTGTTTTAAAAGCTGTACATCTCCTTCGGTATGGTGATAAGTATCACATGCTATGTCGCCGTTTGTTCCATCTTGAATAACATTCGGGGTACGATGAACTGCGTAATCCCAAATATTTTCTCCTTTCCCTGCACAAAATTAAAATAAAATTAATAAATGCAAAAACTAGGTGTTAAAAAGATTTACCACTTAAATTCCATGCACCTTCAACTTGATATGCAGAAGTAGCTACACCAAATTTAAAATTCGATGGGAACTGGAGTTCTCCGAAAACTAATGAGCTAATAAACATTAAATTTTAATTTCTATATGTGTTAAAGAGTGTATATTTTAGTTTCGATATCTAATTATATCTTTCTAATAAAAATTTCTTAATCTTAGTGACCTATTAACCTATTACAACATTTCTTAATGTTTTTATTTTGAATCTTATTCGCAGTTTTTTTTAAGATACCCTCAATTATTACATATACATTAATCGATTTATTTAATTTTTTAAACTTACTTTGTTATGATGAGAATTAGAAGGTGCTTCATTGTAATTTGGGAGTTACAGAGTGACTACTGGAAGATCAATCCGACAAATCGTATATATACGTGATATATTTTTATCTAATTCAACAAGTAAATATTTGGTTTTGTCTGCTAAAAAAGAGAACAATTAAGAACAACTTTAAACATTATTTGTTAACCATATGTTTATTACATATTATGTTCTATATATAGTTTAATATACAATAAACTTGTCCTAAATTTCAATCAACTATATTAATTTCAAAAATATTTTTACACATATATTAGCATGAAATTTTGGATGTTCAGGGTTCCTACAGTCTATAGGAAAAATTGAGTAACTTAAAACGTTTGAGAGTTGGGTTACATACACACTGAGTGGTATTTGTCGACTAGAAATGAAAATCGCACGAAACTTACACCTACGTATTAGAGCACTGCACGAGTACGTAGAGAATCGCGTGAATACGAGTAATACGATTATCTCGTGTGTCCTTGTACGCATCACGCATTTATGTACAGGATGTCCCAGTTTCGTTGTTCGCATAGGCTATCTCCGAAACTAAAAGAGATAGAAAGAAAATAGCTTACATGTCATGATCTCTTTTTTCGAGAAAATGGTAATGCCGAAAACTCCGAACAGCTATCGTCTTTTGTTTTCGCCCTATCGGCAAAAACTGAAAAATTTGCAAAAACGACAATCGCGAATATCTCACTTATCATCAAAGATGGAGTATTATAAATAAAACATTATATGGGCAACTTTTTACGAAGAATTCAGTGGCGTAGGCAGAATTTTTTTCCCATCTTTTATTTTCGAGATTTTAGAAGTAACTTTATTTTTTTAAATGGAAACCATAGTTGGCTATGACCTAAAATAATTTGCTATTTTCTTCTGATAACAAATATAGGTATATAGTTTGTGGGGTATATTTCTTATAGTAATTGAATAAATAACAAAATTTCATTTTATTCTATCTAAAACTGTTATGGTGATAACCATACCATGATGGAAAACATTGCTTCCAATTATTACCAAAGTTTGTAGTAGTATTTAAAAATTCACTAACAACTCTGGCATTATGTGCTGGTGCTCCGTCATATTGAAAATATATCATTTGAGACATATTTAATGGCAAATTGTCGACCAAAGGCTCAATGTGCTGCCTTAATATATTGAGGTATTTACCTGAGTTTAAGTTTTTATGGTAGATACTATATGCCAAATATCTATTATCTAAAAGCGCACACCATACATTGAACCCCAATCTTCTTTGAACACTCAGAGACTTCATCCAGATGACATTTTGAACAAACAGCAGATTATTTAATTTTTCTAAACATCATCTACAAAATTCTAATCTTAGATTGACATCTCCGGCATGTAAATAATGAGTAAGCCCCGCTTTGTATGGTTTATACTTATTTTTCTTTCATATTCGGGAGCAGCGGCTGTTGGGTCAGACGTCTTGTTCAATTTCTCTGCAAGATGTTGAAGGATTTATCGCAAGTGAAGCCAACACATTGACTTCATCCTCTTGCAGGTCATTTTGGTATGTTTTTGGACGTGGTTTGGGGAAGGACCAAAAATCTATTAAATTTTTTGCTAACCGGCTGAAGGTTCTTACGTGCGGTTGTCTTCTTTCCGGATACCTTGTGAAACATAATTCCGCGGCTAACGTGGCATTCTTATCTGATAACATATAGCATTCCACCATGTTACATTTTTCATAATTTTCGAAATTCATTGTAAAGTTTTATTCAGTTTTGTTATACTTTGACACTTAACATGCGGGTGCTTCGTACCAGCATATAATGCCGTAGTTGTTATCGAATTTGTAAATACTGTTAATAAGTTTTATTGTTTACATTACATTACATTGACGGCATTGAAATCTGACGGCATTGACAGCACAGTATCAGTGCTTATAATGTCTTCCGCAGCCCATTGGTAGGACATGTCGGAACAGTTTTGAGCATATTGCTTAAATCTGTAAATGGTTGTTCTAGCCACTTTCTCTATATGAAAATGCAGAGGAGATAGACCAAGCAGAACCTCAATTGCTAGAGTTGGCGTTGTGCCTATCGCACCAGAGATTGCCAATCCAGCTACTCGTTGAATTCGTGAAAGTTTACTGATAACTGAAGTCTGTCGGGCTTTCCTATACCAGGCTGCTGCTCCGTATGTGATCATAGGTCTAAGCACAGTCACATAGAGCCAGTACAGTCTTTCAGGGGTATGACCCCAATTTTTTCCACAAAGACTGCGACAAATCCACAAGGATAGTCTAGCTTTGTGCAAAACTCCCTGCAAATGTCCATTCCATGACAGGGTTTTGTCTAGGATTACTCCTAGATATTTGACTTCCTTTGAGAAAGGAATTTCTTCACCTTGGATAGTTGGGCGGATTAGTCCATCCAACTTTCGTTTCCTGGTGAAGGGCACATTGTCTTTTGCGGGTTTATTGAGAAGTTCTCTCCCTTACACCAAGCGCAAATGGTATCTAGGGTCACCTGGAGGACTTTAGATATCCTCGGCAAACAGGTTCCTTTGACCATAACGACAATGTCATCAGCATAAGCTTGTATTTCCACACCAACGGCTTCGACTATCGCAATCAGATCGTCAACTAGGAGGGACCAAAGCAGGGGAGATAACACCCCTCCCTGCGGGCAGCCAACTCCCGGCCTGAAGCGTATCGTATCACCGTGGAGTGAAGTAGAAACTATTCTACTATCTAGCATATTGCGGATACAACCCGCTATAGTTGCTTCCACTCCCCTGTCAAGAGCAGCTCTTTTAAGAGATTGTGGTATTGCGTTGTTGAACGCTCCCTCTATATCCAGAAACGCACAAACCAAGATTTCTTTATCCTGCAGCGTCCTGGATACTCTACCAACTAAGTTGTGTAGAGCCAATTCTGCTGATTTTCCCGTTTGATAACCATACTGTAGGCGACTCAGTGGACCAGATACCAATGGCACCGTACGGATATACCGTTCCAGAACTTTTTCAAAGGTTTTCAGCAGAAATTTGAACGGCTTAAACGTTTGAATTGTCTGGTCCACGGATGTGTAAGTGACGACTTTTCTAGCCACACTCCAATCCGTATTTGAGGGGCACTTTGCGTAAAACTACCGTCAGGCAGCCTAAGTGAGCCCAGGGGTAGTGCCGGATCTCTAGCGAGAATCTTGTGAATTCCTGCACTGCTGGGTGTGTTTTTCACTCCCTCACAGAACCTCCTCCAAGACTTTCTTTTTGCCTTACGTATGTTTCTGGTGTAATTCGTTAGAGCCTGTTTATATTTCTCCCATTCACCTAATGTCTTGGCCCGGTTAAAAAGCTTCCTGATCTCTTGTCTTTCGGAGCTAAGAGATTCGTTCCACCAGGGTTTTATTACTTTTCACCTTCAGTGGACTGCTACTGTGATAGGTAGAGCGAATTGCCACAGAGATCTGCTCCGTGGCTATTTCAACCTGATCACAGTTCCTAAAGGCGCGTTCTCATGAGTCAAGTTTAGTTGATCGATTTTAGTTGATCAACAAAAGTTGAATAAAAACTGTAGTGAGAACCTTTCTTTCAATAGAGTTGATCAACTTTCTAGTTGATCAAGAAAAGTTTGATCCAGTCAAACTTTTGTCGTTCAAGTGAGGAGTCATCACGAATTGCTTTCAAGTTGAAACTTGTCTTGAAACGTGTGAACTAGGCAGTCGTCTTTTGTCGACTGCGTAGTACGCTTGCACTGGCCGCGTCACACGTGCTTGTGTTATTTTTGATATAAGATATTATTTAAAATTACCAATAATAAAATAGTTTAAAAGAATGAGTCTCAAGTGGTCTGAAAGTGTTATGATAAAATTTTTGGAAGTATATCATAAGCATGATTGTCTTTGGAATCACCGAACGGATAAATATAAAAATAAAGATGCACGACAAAATGCTTTGGGTTCTATTGTCAAGGAAATGGAAATTTCTGGTCTTACTATTGCTGATCTGAAGAACAAAATCAAAACTATTAGAACGATGTATAAAAAAGAACATTCATTGCTTTGCAAATCAATAAAAAGTGGAATGGGAACAGAGGAACTGTACGTGCCAAAATTATTTTGGTATAAAAGAGCAGATATATTTCTAAACGGTGTTACAAATACAAGAGTCACTTCATCAAATTTAGTAAGTATACTTTTCATTCTTTATTTTTTTTACATTAACTATTAATTATTCATCGTCGGGTATCATATTCAGTTGCCAGGGCACAGCACCATGTCCGGAAAAATATTCGGCATATTCATCACGCACATGAGACGCTAATGTTGTATAGTTGCGACTTCCTAAATTAACTTGCAAATCAACTAAACCATTGGCTTCAGTACTTTGTGTTCTCCAAGAACCTAGTATAATTTGCCTGGTGTTCAGATCCTCATTATCATAAGAGCCTGTTGGTGTATATTTTTCACCAGAACTCATTTTTAGCCAATTATGTATTGCTAAAGCTGCTTTAACAATTGCGTCCACATTGGTAATTCTAACCGCTATAGGTCGTTCAAAGACTCTGAATCTAGAACATATTTGCGAAATATATCGCTGTCCAGCTAAAACAGATGCCTCTTTACGATGCAATCATCTGCCAGGAACAAATTGAAAGTGTAATAAGACAAAAGCGATTGCAGGCACCTTGTCAATATCAGAACACTCCATCACCAGCGTTTTCACCTTCTCAGTATCATTCATCTCCATCGCCATCGCTTTCAAACAACATGGACGGAGAATATTGGTCGTCGTCGGTTTCAAATCAATTGTGCGATAGACAACAATGCGGCGAGGATTTGCAGGAGTCATCTAATATAGTTACCGAAGCTTTAAAAAGTGTCTTAGACTAAATTTTGTACTTTAAAATTAAATACATTTTTATACTTACTTTAATAAAATCTTGCAAAGCATCGTATATTGCCGTACAAACTTCTCCCAAAAAATTTGAAATGGTATTTTTAGGTACTCGGTATACGGAAGCAAGCGTGGAAAATGAATCCCCCGTAACTAAATATCTTAAAGTTACTTGCAGCTTTAATTTTGGTGGGATTGCTTGTCGCATCACTGTGTCTTGTTTTTTTATGCAATCATGAACTTTCGACAACAGTTCGTCAAATTTTTCTTCAGACATTCTTAAATAATTTCTATATTCGTCTTTGTCCTCTAATGCTAGCTCCTTCAGCAAGGTTTCCGATACTCCCAAATTATCTCTCCTTAAAATCCACTGCCTCACCCAAAAACGACGTTTCTTACGACTTTTGTTCATATTACATAAAATTATTTTCAGTTCTTCTATTAACAAAACTGCAGTCATGTGTACACATTCCCGCACAACTACATTCGATGCCATTTTAAAACTGAAACGGTCGATCAGTTTCTATTGAAGTGTGTGAACAAAATTTTATTCAAGTCGTATTCAAGTTTTGTTGATAAACTTTAGTCGATCAACTAAACTTGAATCGTGAGAACGCGCCTTAACGGTTGCGATGACACTAGTTAGGTTATCTGCAAGGCAACTCTTAAACAGATCCCAATTAGTGCTACGGGGATTACGGTACGTACAGTCCGATTTCATCCCTAGATCAATTTTAAATTGAATATGTCTATGATCTGAACACGACGGTTCAGAGGATACCCTCCAGGAGGTTATCTTAGAGCTTAATATAATTGAGCTGAACGTAATGTCAAGTACCTCTGCTCTATTTCTGGTAACAAAGGTTGGTTTGGCGCCTACATTGCATCATAGTATGTATGGTTATCACCATAGCAACATTGGCTTTAGATAGAACAAAATGAATTTTTGTTAATTATTCAATAGCTGTAAGAAATATACCTCACAAACTATATATATTTGTTATCAGAAGAAAATAACAAATTATTTAAGGTCATAGTAAACTACGGTTTCCATTTAAAAAAATAAAGTTACGTCTAAAACCTCGAAAATAAAAGATGGGAAGAAAATTTTACCTACGCCATTGAATTCTTCGTAAAAAGTCCATCTTTGATAATAAGTGAGACATTCGCGATGGTCGTTACGGCAAAATTTTCGGTTTTTGCCGATAGGGTGAAAACAAAAGACGATAGCTGTTCGGAGTTTTTCGGCATTACCATTTTCTCGAAAAACGAGATCATGACATGTAAGCTACTTTTTTTCTATCTCTTTTAGTTTCGGATTTAGCCTATGCGGACATCGAAATTGGGACAGCCTGTACTCGCATCGTTTCGCATCGACATCGGTGAGTACAACAGTAATCGGCATCGTTTAGAATCGGTATCGGCGAGTACAACACTAATCGGCATCATTTAGAGTCAGTATCGGCGAGTATACTGGCGAGATTTTGTTTATGCTGAAGGAATGTACAAGGTGTGTCACGACGAGTTGAATCTATAAGTATGTACAGAATGTTTTAAAACAACGTTTGAATATTTATAGGAGTGGTACTACAGTCGAAAACAAGTCGAAAAATGTTAATGAACATGGGTCCGCAAATCAACCGTTTTCAAGATACAGAATGTTTTCAAGAATTTTTTGGGACATTTTTTATACGGTTTTTCTTTTAAACTATAACTACTACAAATTTGATACTTGGCAAATCGATACAGTATGAAACTGTCTCTTTTTGAGAGTAGCATTTTCCGATTACAAGGAGTAGGCTTTGACATACGTACAATCGATTAAGATAAATTAATTTGACGTTTTGTTCAAATTATGAAATAACCAAATACCAGTAATCCAACGCCAGTAATTTGACTTTGTAAACCTGAAATGAAATCGATTGTAATGGTCTTGTATTCAAATGCTGAAATGGGCGATATGGTGTTTATGTACGGCCGTAACAATGGAAGTGCTTTGTGAACTATTAACCCGTCCAACATACTTTGATTTCTTGGAATACACTGTTACTCAACTATTGGAAAACTAACCGTTAAATCAAAAACTAAATTTGTGGTTTATGCAGGATGAAGCTCCCCCGCACTTTACGCGTATTGTTAGAAAACATTTGAATGAAAAATTTCCAGTAAGATGGATAGGGCGAGGGGGTCCCATTGCAGCCTGCACGTCTCGATTTTAACCCATTAGACTTTTGTCTGTGGGGCTACTTAAAAGGTTTAGTATACGCGACACCTGTAAACGATCTTGAAGACTTGCGGCAACAAATAGGCTTCCTTTGAACATAGAATCAGAAACTGTACTGATATTGCAGGTCGACATTTTGAACATCTTCAGTAAAAAGCTTCGTTTTGATGAAGCTTATGACCTTGTACGTTTTGTGAAACTTATAAAAACCGAAAGTATTAGTATTACATTGTGTCAATTCAATTTTTCTAATAATTTACTTTAAAAACTGTGTTCTTTCTCGGAAACCTTCAGCAATACACATTTTGTTTTGTAATTAATGTTGTTTAGAATTAAACTATCTAACCAATTGTTAAATAAAATTTTCTGAATAATAGTGGTATTTATCTTCACTTCCGGTTCAACCGGAAGCAATGAAAACATCATACTACTCTCAAAAAGAAACAGTTTCATACTGTATCGATTTTCCAAGTATCAAATCTGTAGTAGTTACAGTTTAAAAGAAAAACGTAGAGTCCCAAAAAATTTGATCATCTTGTATCTCGGAAACGATTGATTTGCGGATCCATGTTCATTAACACTTTTTTACTTGTTTTCAACTGTAGTACCCCTATAAATATTTAAACGTTGTTTTAAAACATCCTGTATATGGCAAACTACTGGCACTATTTTTATCAAAATTTACATATAGCGTTTATCCGTTAGCGTTTTTCAGTTTTCTCCAACTTCCGATTATACCGGAAATGGACTCCAACTTCGTTATTTTAAATGTAATGTACCAATTTTTATTGAATTTTCGATATCTCCGCTAAATTTAGATATGTCATCATATGTCTGGAGTGCATCATTTTTGAATTATTTCAGTATTTTGATGATATTATTGATTTTTGGCAGATGGAACCATTTACAATAAAAATAATTTTTCGAAATTACACTCGAGTCCGGCTAAATATTCTCAGGGTTTGCACAGAGAGGACCCATAGTTTACATAACCCTTGAAATGTTTTTTAAAAAATTTTACAGGTGGTCAGAAATTTGCACTGAATTTCCCTATCTCGAAATATCAAAAACTTAATTTTTTTAAATGACAGCCCCAATTTATTCAATTTAGTTTGCCATATGTATACATATAGACTCGGCTCGTCGTGAAAGACCCTGTATATTGTATGAGACATTTATAGGATTGTGAGAAATGGGACATTAGACAAATTCAAAACAGAAACTACACATTACATAAAAACATAATACAACAAAAAGTTTTTTCTAGTACATACATATGTAATTTATTCTATACAATAATAACGCCTATAGAAAGGAATACAATCTTGGATTAAAAAAGATACTTCTTAAGTGGTCATTGATATATCAAACATAAGTAATGAAACAAAAAACTTAGTTCTATAAATAATTAGTTAATAATTAGTTCCATAAATAAATAATTAGTTCCAGAACAGTACCGTGCAAATGTCTTGTCTCGACTTGTCGAAAAACGTGTGAAATGAGAAAACCAGACGATCGGACGATTATTCACGATGCGTCTCGCCACGATGCACGATGCCAACGATGCTACAATGCAATTCTGATGAATATTACTCGTAATCAAAAACTAAATGTAATCGGCGAAGCATTGCCAAACGGTACCAACAATTTTCATCGTTGTCATTCCTTGAATTTTATTTTTATGAATATACGACAAGTTGATAATGAGACACAAGAAGTTAAGGACTCACTACATAAAGGAAATGAATCTTTTTTTAGATCACAATAGAGCACTAAAAATACTGATGTGAGAGAAGATGTGACAAAAGGTAGATGACAATCAATATATTCAAAGAATATAAGCTAATGATATCTTCATTCTACTCTACGATCTTTTTCCACATTCTTACGTTGATTGCGTTTTACCTTTCCAGACCACGATTGTAGCGCCTCGGCCGCAACCTACCTCGACTAACAAATGAAAATGTACGATTTTATGTAATAAGACCGATGTCGCTTGCAGTTGCTTAAGGCCGAGCGTTCAGTCATCAGTCAAACACAACTTTGTTCACAATAAACGACTTTATTAAACGAAAAATAACAATAACTATCTCAATAATTGTCTCGAACCACACCCAAAGTCTATTCCGTTCTGTGGCCGATTCTTAACTAACTCTGCCGTCTCTCTCTCTCTCTCTCTTTTTGGATTTCGTCATCGATGCTCCCCATCAACGTCATCGGGTCCCAGGAAGCTAACAGCTCGGCCTCTCCTGATCCTGTGACGTCCTCGTCCACATCTTTTTCTCCGTCTTCAACATTTTCCTCCTCTCTGTCTTCAACTTCTTCATCCTCGCCTTCCTCCTCATCTTCACTCTCGCTATCCTCATGTCTAATCCACAGTTTAGTCGTTCCTCAATAATTGTCTCGAACCACACCCAAAGTCTATTCCGTTCTGTGGGCGATTCTTAACTAACTAACTCTAACGTCTAACGTCATCGGGTCCCAGGAAGCTAACACAGTTAAGGCTTTTATTACGAAACCATATATCGTAGCTGCGAGGCGTTATAGTTCATATATTATACATTCTAGCTGTAAGGCCTCGCCTTAATACAGCAACATCACGTCTTTCCGTCTTACAATTAGTTAAACCTAGGCCGCTTGCGGCCCAGATACTGTAATTGATTCCATCTTAGACAACACATACTGTAGTAACTGGGTAGTAAGCCAAGGTCGCTTGCGGCCGATGCGCTGTTATTGATGTAATATTGGACAATCTTGCTGTATACAGTGTCCGCCAAAATAATTTAATATTAACACACACAACAGCTGCTACCTTAAGATATTATAAGCCATAAACATCTCAAGAATTTGTAAAAAATGTTGTAGAGTTTATTGATAATGTTAATTTTTGCTTTGACATATTTAGTAATGTATAATAAGTTCAATTATTACAATTTACTACTTATTATGCAACATATATTTTATTATACAGAATTTTATAACAAACAAGAAAATTTTCTAAAATTCACATTCATTGAAAGAATCGGGAGTAAATTTCCAATCAACTCTTTTAGTTGCTAAAATATTTTTGTATACGTAGTACGACATTTTGGGTGTTCTTGAACGATCAGGGTCATCAAAATCTACATAGACGACACCAAATTTTTCGCTATAAAGAACAGGAAATAAATTTCATTACCTAATTATTAATTGATAAACTTACGTAAACCCTCTCATCCATTCGAAGTTATCCAAAAAACTCCATGCTGTATAACCACTAATATTACATCCATCTTCGTGAATTGCTTTAAGCAGTTCTTCTAAGTATGTCTATTTAAATTATAATAGTAAAGGTGAATTTATCTCAAATGTATTACATTATTTTTTACTCACATTATAATAATTAATTCTTCTACAATCATTTAATTCACCTTTATCGGAAAACCCATTCTCAGTTATAATAACTTCTGGGTTATTATATTCGTTTTTAATCCAAACCAAGAGTTTTCTAAAACCCCAAGGAACGACAGCTAACCAAGAAGACGCTCCTATTTCCCAATTAGTTTCGTAGTAACACATCGTTCCTATGTCAGTCCATTGAGAAGGTGGAATTCCCCAACCAGCTGGTAGTGGAGTACATTTATTAGTTGTGTAATGGTTTAATCCAAAGAAATCAGAAGAACCACGAATTTCTTCAATTTCTTCGGGAGTAAATTCTGGTAATCTAGACCGTGGGAAACCTTCTATCGCGCTGTTTTCGGCAATCCGTTCTTTCATAACTGAAGGATAATCACCTTCTTTTGAATAAATTGGGTGAGCAAACCAACCGAACTAAAACAATAAAATTATTGTTTGTCAAATCAAATTAAAACGGGGAAAAATATTTTTTTACATTCATTTGAATTGTAATTTCAGCTGCTTCGATGTCCTCGGGTTTATCACTACCAGGTTCAAACCAGTAAGTATCAAGAGTAATACCAACTCTTCCTCCTTGCGAAGCTTTATATTTAGATTCGTATACTCTGTAAGCTTTTCCATGAGCTCTCAACACAGTGTGTGCACATAAATAAACTCCAAATCCATTTCCTTTATAAGCTGGTGCTTTACTGCCATCTTCATACCCTCCACCACAAAACACAGCAGGTTCATTAAAGGTAATCCAATCCTTGACACGATCACCAAAATGTTCAAAAAGTTCATTGGCATAGTCGACAAAGAGATCAGCAACAACCGGATTTGGCCAACCGCCGATTTCTTGTAAAGGTTGTGGTAAATCCCAATGGAACATTGTGGCAAACGGTTTTATCCCATTTTTGAGAAGTTCGTCAATCAATTCGTTGTAGTAACGAATTCCATCTGGATTTATTTTATTTGATGTACCCACAGGGAGGATTCTTGACCAAGAAAATGAGAAACGGTAGAAGTCTACTCCTAAACTTTTTAAGAGTTGGACGTCTGCTATAGCTTTGTTGTAGGTGTCACAAGCTATATCACCATTACTTTGATCGTATATTAATTCAGGGCGATTATGAGTTAGTACATCCCAAATATTTTCTCCTTTACCTAAAATAGCGAAAACAATGGTGCCAAATTTATTTATGAAGTTACGAAAAAAATTATTAAGCGCCAAAAAAGTGGGACCACATACTTCCCAGATAAAATGATACACAAAATAATGTGGACCTCACAAGATGAGCAAACCACGAATCACATCGATCACATCTTGATATAGTCAAGACATGAATCCAACGTACTATGAGCTAACATCGACTCTGACCACTATTTAGCTGCAGAGACTCTCAGAACTCGAATAATAATAATATTAATGCAAGAAATCGAAAGCTGGAGATAAAGATAACGAGGTAACAACTGTGGATATTCTTGGAAAATCGACCAATGCAAGGAAAATTAAAACAGCGTTCTTGTTTTTTAGACCAAGCTTTCAGAATTACTTTATTCCTTCTTTAGGGTAAAATATTCAATTAAAAAAAAAATCAAAATTAAGACTTAAATCCTGCAGTACTAACAAGATTTTTGTAACATCAATACTAACATCGGTCTGTCTGACCGAATCTACCAGAATGTGCTTTTTCTTCATTTCTTTACATTTACAAGGTAATTTTAAGTACATTAAATGTTAAAACATAAGGATAATATGTTTGGATGATAGATAATACATAATCAGTAGATCTAAAGTGCTCCATAAAATAATTAGCTTCTGTAATAACTCTTTATTAAAATATTTTAAAAAACGTTACATTTTATTAAATAAACTTAAAGTAAATCCTTTTCAAAGTCGATAATATACATATTAATATCTAACGCAATCACTGCACATTGCGGTAACATGCTCTAAACATAATTTTTTTTACATCCAGTACACTTATATGTACTTTGTTTTGCTTTTGGGATCAGTTTCAGGTCCCATGTTGCAGATTTCTTTTATGCGCATTCGGGTTAAATGTGGCACTTGTTGAGTTGTTACACGCCACTTCACATGACCGGTAACCAAATCAAATGAAAGTTTTTCCAGAAAAACTTTTCGAAACATATTTGAACCAGGATTTTTTGAATTGAACACAGAAAAAGCACTTATGGCAGCTATGTTCAATACACGATAAAAAATGATCATTGACCACTTTTTTGTGTTTCTGGCACAGTTATAGTTGGCACATAATTGGTCGACTGTGTCAACACCACCCGTCGGTTTGTTGTACAACATAATTATTTCATGTTTTTTTTTGTAATTTCCTCTATCGTCATGCATAGTGGATACGAGCAGGACATTTTTTTCCATTTTTTTGGAACGTATGACACTAATGTACAATTTTCTGCAAATCCAAACATACTTGTACCTGCTGGTCTTACACCAATTATAAACTTGCGTAGTAGTTCTTGCTTGTTTTTATAGTGTCCACTACAGTTAACTTTTTTTTTAGCAGGCTTTCGTATAATGGTATACTAGTGAACCAGTTATCTATGGTGATGTTTCTCCCACTATTAGTCTTATCTACTACTCTTCACTATTAGTTGTACAACACTCAACCACTGCTTTTCCGCTGTTCTCGGCACAAAAGTGTCCAGAGGGTTGTTTTCCAAGGTAAACCGCCATATTCATTGTATAAAAAGCTTTAGCATCAACTAAAGCAAATATTTTGATGCCGTACCTCTCAGGTTTACTTGGAATATATTGTTGAAAATTACATTTTCCAGGGAGCATTTCGTCGACAGTAGTGTACTCTGATGGCGAATAATTTTTCTTGCAGTTAGAAATAAACAATTCGAAGAAATCTCGTATGGCTGCTAATTTATCAATTTTTATCCTCTCAAATCGAGTAATTTTGTTATTAAACCTCAAATGTTTTAATAAAAACCGAAATCTTTCTAACGACACGTTAGTCTGAACTTTACTATAGATGTGCCCTTAGTTTTCCATAAACCTTCTACGTTCAAATGGTTGACTTTACGTACGGCGGAAAGGTAAAGGAGTCCAAGCAATGCTTTTATTTCAATTATATCGGTAATAGTTACTGTTCGATATTCACTAGAATACTGATGTTGATTTATGGAAAAGTAAACATTCAATAAGAACTTTTATGATCTCATCGGTAAAAAAGCATGACCAAATATCCAAAATATTTGACGAATTACTTGCTGGTCCTTTTACGCCTGCTGAGGTTGTAATTATATTTTTCGCTCGAATTTTTACCCTCTTATTAGATGAATCCTTGTTCCATTTTGTTACGTTGTCTTTTCCGATAAAGAAGGGTTCCATCAATTTTACCTTTTTGTTAGGTGTAGGATAATTATAAGAAGTGTTGTCCTCCAATTCTGATTGAAGTTCTTGCTCCGACTCAGAACCTTCTTCGCGCTCCTCTACATTATCTTCCACCTTAGAATCATCTTGATCACCTTGAACACTATTTTCATTTTTCTCCTCTTCTAATTGTTCTCAAATTCTCCTTAATCGTTGCTGATCTTTTTCATAACTCATCTCTAACAAACTATAATTTACTATTATTACGTAAACGTTTTATCAAAATATAACACAATTATACAGGGGTAAATATTAAACTACGACTGACTTATGTACTTATTTGGCTACCTTTTTATAGCCATTCCTCGTCGAAATAAAATGATTTTTAACGCCCTTAAGTTGGGTACGCAACGTTCGTGTTCAAACGGAGTCGATTCATAGTTTTGGCTATTCTTTTTTGCTTAAGTGTTACACATTGTAAATCAAGAAAATTGATTGGTAACCAAGTACAGTTAAGATAGCTAGACGCGAATTTAACAGCAATGCCGGATTCGTCATTATTTTGGTATAGTAGTGAAGAGGCTTTCTGTCAGACGGCAGACCGATGTTACTACTGGAGGGTTAAATAAAAAAACCAATAAACTCTTAACACTTAAATTTCTAAAAAAAACCGTTTACTAAACAAGTACAATTTAATGTTATAAAAATTAAACAATGAACAATATTAGTTATATATTAGAAAATAAGAAGATTTAAATACAAAAACCCAAAAAACCTAGGAAGGGGAAAAAACCAACCTTTAATTCACAAAAATAACAAACGGTGGAAATATGAAACTTTACAACTCAAAATTTCAAAAAAGTATATAAAATTAAAAAAGCTAGAATTTTCTTTGGAGTTGTTACTGTGTACCACTCATTCGTAACTAAGAAAGTGTATACAGAAGTTAGATTTTCAGTATCAGTTCTAAAATTCATCATCTAGAAAGAGTCTCTTACTGTAATTCAATTCCTTTTGCAAGATAGAAGTACTGTCAAAATCAAAGTAATGCCCTTTCTTAACATGATGTACAGCTGTCGTTCTTATGCTGATTGATATGGTTGGATAAGTATTGGGAAGTAAAGCTGTAGTTCCTATACAGAGTGGTCCATTTAACGTGAGACAAGGGATTATGTCGAAAACGGTTCATTTTATATAAAAGTGAACCAAATAAAAGTTGTTCTGTGTGAAGGGGGAAACCATATGACGATAACATTTTTTAATCTTGATCTTATTTTCAAGGTCATATGAAGGTCACCGCCAATTTTTTAAATGGCACCCTATGTTTTTGATTGCAAATCTGAATCTATGGATAAAACTAAAATAATTTAAAAAAAAATACCTTGTGGTTTTGCCAGTACGAAGGCGAAACATCTTTTGTAGACAAAATCTGAATAATTTTTTTTATTCAAATAGTTTTAAATATTGTGTATTTATAAAAAATGATTAATCAACAACAAGTATATAGTAGACGCCACGAGAGCTGGCAGTAAATCATCATTTTCCGCTCTTACAAATGGCATACGTAGTTCACAAACCGCTAGAGAGTAATGTGTGTTAGAAAGAGATAGCATTAGTTTAATATGTCTGCTGTAAAATTCAAATGGCCACGTCGAAAAAGTACGTCTGTTCTTCTAAGAGATGTAACTCTATAATTATAACCTCAAATCGAAACGGCTTGTGAGCGTTGTCATGAATCTGTCAGTGTTTTCACAAGCCGAAAATGTTTTCTTTGAAAGGAAAATCATAACCTCCATTACTAACATAACCTACATTTAAATGTATGTGATGAAATAATCTAAGTCGTACGTCCATATCTTGATTCATACGATCTGTCACTGCCAGCTCTCGTGGTTTCTACTATAAAATTTATAATAAATGTCCGATATTTCCCCACCCACTTCAATACATTTATTAATCCTTCTACTAAAACTTTCTTTACATCTTCAAAGGTTTTCTTGGCTACTATTTCTGCATGCATTTCTTATCCGCTCTTTCATGTTTTCTGGCGTAGTCGGTACTTCGCGATAAACATTATCCTTAAGAATTAAGTTTAAGTTATTGGGAATTCAACCAAAAGGAATTCCTTAAACTTAAGAAGGATAACTTAATCTTAATTCTTAACATTGTACAACCAGTACTTTCACCTCTCATTATCCTTAAGGACGCCCCACAAAAAATTTAAAAAAAGGGGTATTAAACCAGGTGATCTGGCAGGCCAGGAAATTGGACCTCCCCTTCCAATCTATCGCCCAGCATAATCTCGTCAATAATTACGTCATCTAAAAAATTTCGGTACTTTTCCCCATTCCGCATACCATCAATAAAGTATGGACTGATCAATTTATCACCAATTATACCACACCAAACATTAACCGACCAAGGTCGTTGATGTTCTACTTCACGCAACCATCTCGGATTTTCAACCCTCCAATAGTGCATGTTATGTCTATTGACTTGTCCTTTGTTTGTAAAAGTAAACTCATCCTAAAATAGCACGTTACCAAAGAAATTGACGTCCAACCGTATTCGTTCTTGTGCCCATTGACAAAATATTAATAGATTTTCAAAATCACCTCCATAAAGCTGTTGATGCAATGAAATGTGGTATGCGTGATACTTGTTGCGCTTTAATATTCTTAAAATGCTGGTCTTTGATATTCCAGCGTCAATTGCAAGTCGTCAAGTGCTAACTTGAGGATTTACCTCAACGCTAGCTAATACCGCAATTTCCTTTTCTTCCGTAGTTACAGTTGCTCGCCGAGTTCTTTTTCTTGATTCCACATTTCCAGTGTTAGTGAAATCATTCACAACTCTGTAAAAGGTACTTCTCGAAGGCGTATTTCGATCAGGAAAACGTTCTCGATACAAAGCTATATATATCAGCAACTTTTCTGCCACTTTCTCCAGAAATAAAAATCATTTCGACTTTTTCTGCCACACTTAGAGTAACCATGATTTAATGACTTAGTTTAAACACTTTGCCTTAATGTAAAACGATGGAATGAATTCAGAATGTGTTGCTAAGCTAGTTAATTGTTTCTGAAGAAGATTCAATTTTTTTCAAAAGATGTTTTGCCGTTGTACTGGTAAAACCATACAGTAAAAATTTTTTATTTTTTTTTAATTACTTTACTTTTATCCACAGATTCAGATTTTACAATAAAATATGTAGGGTGCTATTGATCGTGACCTTCATATAACCTTGAAAATAAGGTCAACGTCAAAAAATGTTATCGTCATATGGTTGCCCCCTTCGCAAAAACAACTTTTATTTGGTTTATTTTTATGTAAAAGGAACCGTTTTCGAGATAATCACTTGTTTCACGTTAAATGGACCATCCTGTATATAGGAACTACTTCCCAATACTTATCCAACCGTATTAAGCAGCATAAGAGAGTTGTGCATCATGTTAAGAAAGGGCATCACTTTGATTTTGACAATACTTCTATCTTGTAAAAGGAATTGAATTACAGTAAGAGACTCTTTCTAGATATGGTGTATATTAATAAGGAGGTTGCATCGGTGAATTTTAGAACTGATACCGAAAATCTAACTTCTGTATACGCTTTCTTAGTTACGAATGAGTGGTATACAGTAACAACTCCAAAGAAAATTCTAGCGTTTGTTTTTTTAATTTTATATATTTTTTGGAATTTTGAATTGTAAAGTTTCATATTTTTCGCCTCCACTTTTTGTTACTTTTGTGAATTAAAGGTTGCTTTTTTCCCCTTCCCAGGTTTTTTGGGTTTTTTATATTTAAATCTTCTTATTTTCTAATGTACCGGGTGTCCCGTTAAGGGTACGGAGCGGCTGTATTTCGACAACGGTAATGCTTAGACTCTAGAGGTTTGGGAAAAAAATGCTTATAGGCAAAGTGGGCAAGAGAAATAGCTGGACATTATTTTGAAGTTCGTAATTCGACCGCTAGGGGACGTAACTGCCATAAAGAAACATAAAGTTCCCGCTATCTCAGAAAGTTAGACGATAAGCTATAACTTTGACAACATCATTTATAGGTCGAATTACGAACTTCAAAATAATTTCCAGCTATTTCTCTTGCCCACTTTGCCTATAAGGATTTTTTCTCAAACCACTAGGTGAGAGGCGTATGACGATTTAACCTAACAACTCTTATACATTTGTCGGTGGTTTTTTTGTACTATTAACATAAAATTTGTTAGTTTTATGTTTTCGAACATGAGAAATACGAATTTGAAACTTGTTTTGTGATTGATCGTAGAGGGCGCTAGACACTGTTCATTTGATAAATCAAGTCATGACTATTTTGTCAGTTGAAGTATGGTGAATTAAATCCATAAATCTGAAACAGCTTTCAATTCTACACAAAAAGGTAATCTTGCTTGTATACAATATCGTGTATTCTTACTTTAGTATAGAATTAGCATGATAGATTGATGTATACACACTCAACCACATGTTTATTAAAACACATTTCTCTAAAACACTATTCGTTGCCGATATCCATAGGAGATGTATAAATAAGAAGACAGATCTGGTACAGGCGTACGCCGAGAACCAGATTGTTCTAGTGGCGAATGTGTCTTTGCAAAAGATGAGCATAGGTGGGAAACGATATGGAAGACGTGCGAAGAATGGGTGGAGGAGTACAGAGTTAGAGAGGTTGTACTCAAAGAAGATCAGAGGCCCCATTCTAACAACGGAAATGGGTGTGGTCAGGATGACAAATGCGATTAGGTAACTCGACGTGATAGTGGATGCGGTGCTGCTCTTTGTGGAGCACGTAAGGTATGTTGGGGGAAAGGTGGAGGCTGTGTTGGGGAGACGGAGAAAGAGTGGTCTTACCAAGACTACTCTATGGCGCGAAAGTATGGGGTATGAGGGCGGATGATAATGATAAATAATCAAAAGTGTGAATGCGAAGTGAGATTTATCCTATTATGGGAGGAGGAATACTGCTTGGAACCTACTTGGAAAAACTAAAATAATTCTTGTGCTTATTTACCGCTTGCATTCCATCCTCCTTCTACTTGATAGGAAGCTGTGGCAACTCCAAATTGAAAATTAGGGGGGAAAACGTAATCTTCGGCATAGGATGTACATCTAAACCATATAAATTTAAAGTACCTAGATTAAAACTAAATACCTCAATATTGAATCTTACGCGTAAATCAAAACGAGTAACCACTTCATCGTGTGCAAACCAACTGTAATGCCACCAAAATTTCTGACTTATTTATATTTAACATTAAATCATATCTTTACTGATTATCAAATTGGTGAACAATATTAAATTCCGTGTATTTTGCTTCGAGATCGTCCTAAACACTTGAAAGAAAGATAAAATTATATAAGTAGTATTGTAGGAAATCAATGAGAAATAGTGGCTTTAGACAGATTAATTAAGGTCGTTAGACTTCCTAAATAATCGATAAAATCGTTTTATTATAAATCAAATAAATCGTTTCCAATAAAATTGTTACATGGATAAAGATTTGGGGTTGCACAAAATTCATTATAAATTCATACACATGGTATTAATAGATTATATCATTTATTTTCAGAAAACAGTAAAAATTTTATTCAAATAAGTGCTTTTCAAAATTCACATTCATCAAATGAATCGGGACTATATTTCCAGTCAACTCTTTTAGTGGCCAAAATATTCTTGTAGACATAGTAGGACATTTTGGGTGTTCTTGGTCGATTTGGATCATTAAAATCTACATAATAAAGTCCAAATCTTTCACTAAAAACATAATAAATAAATAAATATCAAAAATCAATTCCGTAATAAACTTACGTAAACCCTCTCATCCATTCAAAGTTATCCATAAAACTCCACGCTGTATAACCACTAACATTGCATCCATCCTCGTGGATAGCTTTGAGAAGTTGTTCCAAATAGGACTAAAAAAATTTGCATTTACTAAGTAATCAAAAAAAATTTAAATTTTTTATTACGTTATAATAATTAATTCTCCGACAATCTCTTAATTCACCTCTATCGGAAAAACCGTTTTCTGTAACGACAACTTCAGGGTTATTGTATTCGTTTTTAATCCAAACTAACAATTTTCTAAATCCCCATGGAACTACTTTTAACCATGATGAAGCTGATGGTTCCCAATCGGCATCTTGAGAACACAATGCACCAGCATCGGTCCATTGAGAGGGTGGGGTTCCCCAACCATCAGGAATTATGGTGCATCTACTGGTGGTGTAATGATTTAATCCAAAGAAGTCAGATGAACCGCGAATTTCTGCGATTTCTTCTGATGTAAATTCTGGTAACCTCGATCTGGAGAAACCTTCCTCTGCACTTTTTTGAGCAATTCGTTGTTTCATTACCGGTGGATAATCACCGTCAGTTGAGAAAATGGGGTGAGCAAACCATCCAAACTAAATAATAAATTAAAGAAATAATCAAAAGGAAATAATAAACTACTTACTCCCATTTGAATGGCTGTTTCGGCAGCTTCAATATCTACTGGACTTTCACTGGCAGGTTCATACCAACCACTATCAATAGTAATTCCAACTCGTCCTCCTTGACTAGCTTTATATTTTGATTCGTATAATCTATAAGCTTTTCCATGTGCTCTCAACACAGTGTGTCCACATAAATATACTCCAAACCCAGCTCCATTATAAGCCGGAGCCATTGAAGCACTTTCGTAACCTCCACCGCAAAATACACCAACCTCATTAAAAGTGATCCAATCTTTGATACGATCTCCAAAATTTTCATAGAGCACATTAGCGTAATCGGCAAAAAGATCGGCTATAACCGAATTCGGCCATCCGCCAAGTTCTTGTAAAGGTTGCGGTAAGTCCCAATGATACATGGTTGCGAATGGCTTGATTCCGTTCGCAAGAAGTTCATCGATCATTTCGTTGTAGTAACGAATTCCATCTGGATTTATTTTATTTGCAGTGCCTGTTGGGAGAATTCTAGACCAAGAAAAGGAAAAACGATAGAAATCTACTCCTAAACTTTTCAAGAGTTGAACATCTTCTATTGCCTTGTTGTAAGTATCACAAGCTATATCACCATTGCTGCCATCGGTTATTAATTCTGAACGTGTGTGAGTAAGTCTATCCCAAATATTTTCACCTTTACCTGAAAAAAAAATTGTGTGTAATAAATGGGATAAAAAAAGTTCTGATTCACTCAGTTTGTGAATCAATTCGTGAAGCGAGTTCGTGAAACTGGATAGTTATTGGACAAAACAACTCGTTCACATTCTCTTCTATAGTGCGCTCAGCCTAAAACATTGCTGCTGTTACCCAGAATGTGCGTGAAACCCAAGGTCTATAGAACATAAGGTTACCCAATACCGATTCTCCTCCTCTGAGAGGCAAGGTGGGTCAGTGACGTAGCTGGTTCTATGAACAACACAACACCACCTATACTGTGGTACAGTCTATATAAAATATTTAAACCTCGCATCGTGTTGTCACGTATAGGCACATGTATAGGCTATCTTTTATTCTGACTGTATCGAACCAGTGACGTCAATTTGCGGGGTAATAATCGATACTACAGAGGCATAGGGAATGAGGTAACCTTATGTTCTATAAACCTTGCGTGAAACCATCAACATCAATTCGCTATCGTTCTCTGGAACTGAACAATTGTCATACTTCTCTAAGGAAAATTTTGCATAAAGACCACGGTATGACGGCTTACAAAGTTCAATTAATACCAGAACTGAAGCTTCATGACCATCCGATACATTTTCGGTTTGCCCAAAGCGCTGGAAATCGCTTGGCTTGACCCTTGATGTCAACATTGATCTAATTTCCGTGTGCAATAATCATTTTTACCAACAATAAAGTTATTACCAATTTGAAAATGCCACGACGTAATGAGTTTTGTAATAGTGAGAAAGCCAGATTTAAATCCACTGGATTTTTGAATATAGTCACAATATTCTATTGTTATTAGTTGATTGTTATTGTTATCGATTATTATCGTTACTTTGAAACAATTAAAATGTGGCACAATACGCTTTACCAACCTTGGTTCAGCCTACTTTTGAAACTATACCAACATTAATTATATATATTGTGCAATAAAAAACTTGCCGAAAGACCGTGTCTATGTTACTTTTAATAAAATAACATTTTATCATATTAGTTATTTTTTGTTATATCTCCATTTTAAGTCATAGAACGGGTGTGAAGTTAGCTCTACCTCACATATGCAACATACTAAAATCATAAGCAGAATTGTTATACGTCATCAATACTTTACTATGGTAATTGTAATCGTAATTCTGTAATTCGTCAATTCTGGTTTGAAAAACAACCGTGGTAACGTTTGATGATGTACAACAGTTTTGCTCATGATTTTAATATGGTAATGTTGGTTTTTCCCCATTGAGCCTTACGTCATTAATGCGCTACTATCGCAACTGTAAATAGAATACTGTAATTGAAGACCTCGGTGCAAGAAGGGGACAACTCCACTTTTTTACGATTTCACGTTTTTTCTCGATACACGTTAAGAAAATTATTCTCTTTCTTTTTATATAAGAACGGAATTGTTCCGGACAATATTTCGTCAGATATTAAAGAGAAGGATTTGTATCAGTCTACGTTTTGGCGGAAAAACGGGATAGCACTCGGAGTTGTACCATTCTTACACCGAAACCTGTACAAATCGAAGATACTACATCGAGTAATGAAATTTGTTATTTTGATGTACCACTAACTTCTACGTAGATCTCGAAATAGCCTCTACTAAAATCTCTAAATACACTGTTGGAAATAATTCACGAGCACACCCTGTATAATCTGAACGCGTGTGTGTGTCTAGCGCAATAAAATTTGGTATGGAAGTAGTACTAAAGTAGTGTAACTTACTCTCACATGGAGAGCGGCACAACTCTGCTGGGAGGAGAAACATCGATAGCGAGAGTATCCCCCGTGAGCTTCGCGTACCATCGCTACACGACGTGGCATGGAGTCTATAAGTCGCTGTATTGTAGCGAGAGGGATGGCCAACCATGCCACCTCAATTCGCCTCCACAGCTCCTCAACGTTAGGCAAGGAAGCCGGATAACGTAGAAGTCTCCGACCAGTCATTTCCCAAACATGTTCGATCGGATTCAGATGCGGAAACCGAGCTAGCCATGGAAGCATTCTTACACGGCGCTTTTCCACAAAGGTCTGTACAACACGCCCGATGTGCTGTCGTACGTTGTCATGCATGTATAGCAGACCTGGAAGCCGCCGAACATAGGGAAACACAACGGATCGTAGCACCTCATCTACGTATCGTTGACCCGTCATGGTCTGCTATACACGCAGCAGACGTGTACGTCCACCATATGTAATCGCACCCGATACCATAATGCTCGGTTGTCGGTGGATAGGGCGTTCTTGCACACATTGCTCGAGTAGACGATCACAACGGCTCCGACGAACTAAAATTCGCGCATCACCGGTGCTCAATTCGAATCTTGATTCGTCTGAAAACAAAATGTCCCTCTACTCGGCAACCTACCAATGCCTAGCGTCGACCCACTCGTGACGTATGCTGCGGTGCTTGGGTGTTACTGGAATCTGCTGCATCACACGACGCGTGCGCAGTCCACTATCTACCAAATGCCGCCGTACAGTTCGCGTAGTGAGTGCGCCTTCCCCTGCCGGTGGCCAAACAGCTCCAAGTTGCCTTGAGGAGGACACACACGACGCTAAAGCACTGAGCACAAGAGCGCGATCCTCGTGTGCTGGGGACGCACAGGGTCGTCCCGGCCGCGGCTGAAGGTACCTATGTCCTACCTCAGACCATTCTCGCCATGCCCATTGCACTGCCGATAACGACCGCTCGAGACGACGCGCAATTTCACAGAACGATACACCCTCAATGTGCATATCCACAAACATTCCTCGCTTAAGTAACGCGATCGCCCATCCATTGCGCACAGAGTACTATAACAATGTAGTCCCTCACACCACACTAAAAACGACCGGTATTTTCCATCCACTTCGGTCTCCATAGCGACGGAATGTTCCACTTGGAAGGGCGGCTCAGTCAACAATGCCGCGACGGAACAACTCGAAACTCCCTGAATAAACTCGTCTACACTAAACCTTTGTGCTCCGCAAATATTATGGATTTATCTTCACGCGTTCAGATTATATAAGGTGTGCTCGTGAATTATTTCCAACAGTGTAGTTTTGACCGCAGTGTATAAATTAACTATTATTTTATTTGGTTAAAATGGTTGTAAGGTATATAAACATTGTGATCTCATTTCAAACAAGCAGCCCAATCAATCAGAGCTTTCAAGTATGACAGTTCGACTACATGAAACATAAAATGAATACTATTTAAGACTAAAGTGGTAACTTCAAGAAGTAAAAATGACAAAAATTTCCGTTACACTTTTGAAGTAGTAATGCTCCATCCTGATAATTTTTGTTCTAAGCAACCGCTGGTTCTACTATTTTGTTTATTATCATAGTTGTCTATGGTCAGTACAGCGCCGTTGTTAGATTTGTAAGGTCATGTTGTGTGTTTGCCTGAATTTGCTTCAGTTATGAGCATAACCAACCTATTTATTGTTGAAACCGATTTGGATAATATGGATAGTGATCCAGATTATATCCCGGAAAACAACGTAGAGAAGCATAAACCTAGATACAATATGTAAATATATCGTTATTAACTTCTTGTGATGCCGAGTGCTCCGATACAAACATAGTTTGTGAAGATAATGAAAATGCGACCATACGTAAGGGAACGGGACGAAAGCGGAAAAGGGACGTTTTTAAGTGGAAACGTAATGTTTTAAAGAATAAAAGGGCAAGTGGAGATCAACATATGAATTCTTCAGGTAATGTGGTCACATCACGCAACAGAGGTCCGGATTGCAACTGCAAGTGGAAATGCTTTTCTGTTATCACCGACGATATTAAGGCTACTATACTCAGTAGTTTCAATGCAATGACAAATAAGGAGAAGCAGGACATCATCTTAGTGGCCAAATTAGTTTATCCACTATTCAGAGGCGTAGACCGACAACAGGGGAAGGACAAACTCGAGCTTCCGCAGCACACTATAAAATAAAACATGGTACTTTTGAAAAAAAGGTTTGTAAGAAAGCTTTTTGTTCTCTTTATGGAGTAGGAAAACGTAGAGTTGAAAGGTTACTAGGATATCTACAAAAAGGAATAATTGTATTGAGGGATAATCATGGAAAACATGGTAATAGACCAAACAAAATACCAGATCATATTATAAATCAAATTGATAACACATACAAAGCTTTCCTGCTCAAATATCTCACTACAGTAGGACGAAAATGCGAATGTATGGTACCTTTCTCAAGATTTGAGTATTCGAAGAATGCACAGACTTTATTTAGAGATACATGAAGCAGAGGTATTTGCGAGATTGGAAAAAGGTGAAAAATGCAAACAAACAGTTACATATGATTGCTATAATTGTCACTTTAATGAGCTTTCCTTTGGAATACCAAAATCTGATACATGCCAAAAATGTGATACACTAGAGAACCAAATTAAATGTGAAAACGACAAAGAAAATTTAGAGACATTAAAAAGGATTTATAAGGAAATTAGTTTAAAAATTAAAGAATCCAAAACTAATGATAAGATTGAAGTCTTGACATTTGACTTTCAACAGAATTTACCTTTGCCAGCAGTACCAAGTGGAGATGTGTTTTACAAGAGGCACCTGTAGGTTTATAACTTCACTATATACTGTGCAAGCAAAGGAAAGTCATACTGCTACATGTACAACGAAGATACTGGGAGGAAAGGTCAGAATGAAGTAATAAGCATGATCGATCATTTCATAAAAAATGAAATCAGTTCCAGTGTAAAAGAACTACCTTTTTTCTGACAACTGCTAAAAACTTCTAAAATTTCGAGCAGATCGAGCCTATAACCTTTTTCACATTTATGTAGAAGTTTTGTATTATTGTAATCTATCTTATGGCCTGTTTCAATGTGATGTTTAAATACATTGGAATTATCATTAGTTTTGTGCTCTCGTATACGAGTTTCCAATTTACGCCCTGTTTGCCCAATATAAACTGAGTTACAATTGAAACATCCAATTGACTATACGCCACATTCTTTCAAAATATCTTTGTTTTTAATATAATAGTTGGATAAAAGTCGGAAAATCGTGTTATTATTCGAAAATGCCAAGGAAAGATTATATTTAGAAAAAATGTGTTTTGCCTGTAAAGTGACATTATTGTAAGGAATAGGTTTATATTTCAAGTTATTTAAAGTTTTAACATAAAGAGGGTCTCTTTGTTGCTGTATTTTGTGAAATACTCTATTAATGATGTGTTTTGGGAATTTATTATTATATGCAAGCTCAAACACATAGCCAATTTCTTTTATCCTATTCTGTTGGGAGAGGGGGTAGTTAAATATTCTATTTATTAAAAATCTAGAATTGGGAAGTTTTTGTGTCATAATCATAAGGAATAGTTGTTGAGTCGGTCGATGGTTTCGTATGAATATTGTATTCGATTTTATCTTCGTCTGTTCTTGTTAAATTTAAGTCTAGAAAATTAAGTTGATTATTTCCTTCAATTTCTATGGTAAATTTAAGGTTCTTATTAATGTTATTCAGATACAAAAAACGCCGTCGACATATCTCAACCATTTATTAATATTTTTCTTGTGGGGATAATGTTATTTATAATAAATGAAAAGAAAAATCAACTGTACTTTTTACTGGTTTTAAATTCCAAATTTTAATTTGGAATTTAAAACCAGTAAAAAGTACAGTTGATTTTTCTTTTCAATTATCAAAAACTGGTCGATCATGGATCAAATAAACCCTTACGCTTTAATTTATAATAAAGTTTTGTTCAATGTGGTCTAAAAACATATCTGCCAGGAGACCTGATAAAGGCATCCCCATAGGTAAACCTTCCGAAATAAAGTAGTATTCGTTATTAAATGTACAATAACTTTGAGTGACTATATGTTTTAAAATGTAATTTAAATGGTCGACGGTCGTTTTATTATTAGAAAATGAATTAAACATTTTTGACGTTATTTCCAATGTTTGGTCAATTAGAACATTTGAGTAAAGGTTGGTGACATCGAAGCAAATAAGAATTTTGTTTAGATCTTTAGTCATTTCTATGAATTGGGTGGAATTATTAATGGAGTATTTCGGAGTAAAGTTAATATCCCTACATATATTTAGCATAAAGTTAACAAGTTTTTGTGTAGGTGAGTTATTAAAGGAGGTGATGGGTTTGATGGGCATGTTTATTTTGTGAAACTTTGGGAGGGAGTACAATTTCGGAATGGTGGGGTTCATACTTATGAAGAATGAGCTGTTAAAATATTTGTAAATTTTAAAAATTTTATTTTTATTTGTAAATGCTTGTAAATTATATTTTAAATTGATGTCGTACGTTAATTTTATATTTTAAGTGATATTGTGAATGTTTTTGTTGCGATCGTTTTTTGAAATTTTAACGTGTTCATATCTTTTAAAGAAAAGTTTTTCTTCGAGATAATGTTTTTCATTTGAGTTTTTCGCTTTTCATGTATATATTGCTTTGAAATGTTAACTGTAAGTTTTTTTTAACTGTCTTATTTTAATATGTTTTTCGTTTTTGCTAGTTTCGACTAAAGATGAGGGAGTAACCTCGAAACTAGTCTCGATATAAATTTAATAGAAGCAAGTAAAAGAAGTTTTTCTAGTATTTTTTAATATATTCACAACTTGCAACATGGATAAAATTCTTAATTCTTACGTTTAGTATGCCTTTAAAGTGCAATACCTCAAAAATTATTCATAAAAAAGGCTGCGACAAATTTGTAAACTTTACCACAAATTACAACAAATTAAGCGATTATCAATAACGTCATTATTTTTTTGTGATCTCCGTTCTTTACCATAGATTCCCACCGTCAAGTTAGCACTACCTCAAAAATTATTCATAAAAAAGCACGCGATAAATTTGTAAACTTTACGACAAATTACAACAAATTAAGCGACAATTAATGACGTCCTTAGTTTTTTGTTATCTAGGTTCTATACCATAGATTCCCACTGTCAAGTTAGCGTTACCTTAAGGGGCACACCTAGTGTGAAATTTTGAAAAAATCGAGTTTTTTTTTCGTATTTTGATAGTCTATACCTTTAAAAATAACATACTAAAATTTCAAATGAATATTTCAGATAGTTTTTGAGTTACAGCCTTCTAAATTGTAGCAGAAATGTACGAATAGGTCCACCTTTGTGGAATATTTCGTTTATAACTACGTCACATGTTTTCGGAGCCAGATATATTCAGTTTTACTGTGACCGTTATACTGAACAGTTATTTTAGTAAAAATGAGTGAAAAACCTCTTTATTCAAACCAAAAAGGTACTAAAGACACTCCCAGGCGTAGATCAATTTCACGAAAACGAAAGTTTACTGGAAACCAACATACATTCGAGCAATCTACCGCGAGTGCCAGTACATCCGCTGAAATACTGTTACAAAATAAAGATGAAAATATTGTGATTGATGTAACTCATGGATATTGCATTATTCAGCTTGTTTCGTTTTTTTATGCAATTAGTAATTTAGTAATGTGCAAAACTTGTAAAAAAAATGTGACTTTTAATCAAGCAAGTCCGCGAGGTTTAGGCTTTAAAATTGCTGTGGTGTTTCGTACATCAAATCCGGGCCTATGATTGAAAATGCATTTGAAATAAATAGACGTTTAGTGGCTGTGATGCGTCTTTTGTGTATCGGAATAAACGGAATTAATCTTTTTTGTGGTTTGATGGATTTAGCAAGTAAATTTTATCATCAAACTTTCGCTGGATGTTTCACGAATTTATGAACAGCAGCAGAATCGGTTTGTAAATTTAGTATGCAAAGAGCTGTAGAAGAATAGAAGAAGCAGACATTAGAGAAGGAAAATTCAGACACAAATTTGACTATTTCTGGAGATGGCACGTGGAGAAAACGTGGCCATACTTCACGTTTTGGTGTAGTAACTCTTGCAAGAAAATATTGTAAAAAAATCATCGATTCGTGTGTAAAGTCTACTTACTGTCACACTTGTGTCTTTTGGAAAAATAAAAAAGACAGCGATCCTGAAGCTTACGAAGAATGGCTCTCACTACACGAAGATGATTGTGACATAAATCATAAAGGATCAGCTTCAAAAATGGAAGTCGACAGTGTGAAAGACATGTTTGGTCGCTCGATTAGTGAATACGGTGTGAAATATTCGCGATATATTGGTGATGGTGATAGTGCCACATATAAAGGATTATTAGATTTGAATCCATATGCTATTCCGATAGAAAAACTAGAGTGCTATCTACATGTTAAAAAAAGAATGGAATCACGATGCCGTAGTATAAAGAAAGCCAATAAGAGCTTAGGAGGAAAAAGTAAAACCACGCTAAAATTAACTGTCAACTTAATTAGTAAACTTCAAAAGTATTACGGCCTAGCGATCATGCGACATCAAGATAATGTAGATGAAATGCATAAAGCAATCTGGGCTACATTTCATCATTTGAATTGAACTGATAAGAATCCAAACCATGCAAGCTGTCCAGAAGGCGCAGACAGTTGGTGCGCTTATCGCCGCGTGGAAGCTGAAGGATTGAACTTCAAGCACGATTGTCTCCCACTTATTCGAAAGTTCAAGAACTTCTGATACCAATATACAAGGACTTGTCTCGGCGTGAATTGCTTGATAGATGTAAGGGTAATAATACCCAGAATAATAACGAAAGCTACAATGGTTTACTTTGGCACTTTGCTCCGAAACACCTCCACAATGGTCTCAAAACTATTGAATTGTCGAATTACTTTGCTACGTCAGTATTCAATGACGGTTATTCATCAATTTTAAAAATATTTAACGTGATGGGAGTGATAATTGGACCTGCAGCAAGGGATTTTGCCGCTAGCAAAGATGAAACAAGATTACGAGTAGCAGAGCATCGCCAACACGCTGCCACGAAAGAAGGTCGATCATTTCGAAGAAGTGCTTTAACAGCCCAGCAGGCACATTATGAAGAAGATTAAGGTGAATTATATGAGCCTGGAATAGCTGATTAACTGCAAGTATGATTTTTGTCTATTAAAAATAATGAAATTAATCATTTTATCTTTAAACGCGTTTTTCTCCAAACTACATTTTTCAAATTTGCTGCAGTTGTAACTCGAAGACAAATCATCCGATCGCTGTGATTTTTTTTCTGCATATTTTATATATGTTTCTCTGTACAATGACCCTCCAGTTCTTCGATTGTATGAAAAATGTACTATTGGCGGGCCAAAAATCATCCAATTTTTGAGCAAAATACGACATTTTTTTCAAAACTCTGCCATTTTGTAAAATTTTAATTTTCTTTCACAATCGTGGGTCATTGTATAGGCAATACCTTCTAGTTTAATAATCTTTTTATTTTTTTTTATTTCAGCCACGGTAAAGCTGCAATCACTGCAGCAGTGGAGAACCTGGTGACTTGGGAGATAGCGAATAACTCGCTGAAAATAAATTTTTTTCATTTGAAAATTTATGTGTGTACTTACTACTTATGTATAAATATATCCTCAAAATTTTAAAACATTTCAGCCAGTAATTTTCTTTAAGAAAATTAAAGAAAAACACCTTTTTTTAAGGCGCTCACACTAGGTGTGCCCCTTAAAAATGCATTATTTCAAATATTGTTGATAAAACAGGAAGCGACAAATTACAACAAATTAAGCGACAATTGATGCAATAGTTTTGTAGTCCCAACTTGACAGATGTGTAAACAGCAGATTCTATTCAAAAATTTATCGAGTTAATCATTACTTAATAAAAAAATTGATTTTTTTAGCACAACTAAATTGACAGAGTTAGTCAACTGAACTTATATAATTTTAAAAATATCTTATCAGATATATTTTGTCGATAAAATTCATCGAAAATCGTTAATTTTTGAATTAATTTTTTAAGTGAAAAAATATCTCAATTATGTTTTAGTTTCCTTTTAGTGTTAATATGTGTAACATTTTATCCAAGTTACATTTTTATTTTATCAACATTTTATTGTTAACTCACCACTGGAATTCCATCCTCCTTCCACTTGATACGCAGCTGTTGCAACTCCAAATTGAAAATTAGGAGGAAATGCGTATTCTTGCGCATAACAAGAACACCTAAAACAAAATGTTAGAACTAAAAATAATTTGATATAGTTTTACTTACGCGCATAATAATGTTGTTATGTATAATATGAGCCTCATGTTTGATTAACAACCGACACTGAGCGCTCAGATTCAATCAATCGCAAATAAAACACTTACTAGTTTATATTTAAACCCCAAATCGAATCTACACAGATTATCGAAACCGCGAAACCACATCAACACTCAAAAACCAGATAGGAAATGTTTTAAATTGTTTATAAATTTAAATTATCACGTCATAAATATAATTAAATGTGTATACACCGATTAAACTTTTGTGTATCTCGTTTTGTTAGGAAATTAATGCCACAACCTTAATCTTACAACATGAGAATAACAACATTTCTGCACAATCTTAATTTTAAGTCAGGGACGTTTACTTGTAACGCGACAATTAACGATGTGATTTATGTTCTTTCTTCTAAGAAAATTGCATAAATATTTAGGAGTTTATTTCTATTTCTATAAATAATATTTTCAACAAAATACGAATCTTATCAAATCTTTTATTTAGATACAATATTTTTACGATAACCGTCAAGTAGTGCTCGTAATTTTCCTAACGATCAATATTATTAATAATATTAACTTTCAAATTAAACAAATTTTATTTTATGCCGCGTTCTTATCAAGAAATCTTTTTCGATTATTAATGTCTATATATTCATAGTTCGATAACCCAAATAAAAAAGTACTTTGTCTTCGTTGTACTATCTTAAATGTGTCGACAAAAAGAAAGCTATTCGACACACTAATCCACTTATGAAACAACTACAATAATAATTCACTCTCGCCATAACGTTATTCTCTATTAATCCGAGTTTATGCACAATGAAAATCGGGATTTGTTTACTTTTCGTACGATTTAACCAATAAAAAAATCAAAAATTAATGGTAATTAAATCCTTTTTTTAGTCTATTCTGTGTATACATGGAGAGGATGTTGTTAGATTTTCGTCTAACAACCAAATAAAAATGTTTTCGGCCCCGTTGGCGAAGGAATTGATTCATAGTTGGATTGATGTACAAAAAGGTGTTTATCCTTATGTGAGTTTCACTTATTAATAACTTTTTTATAGTAAATATAAATGATTTTTTTTATTTAAGGTGAAACCAATAACAGATGTAGTACCTTTAGGGGAAGATATCACCCTTTTTATTTATTTTAAAGAACCAAATAATATTTATGATGTAAAAATAGCTGAATGTTGGGCGTACGATAATGAAATATCGAGAAAAGATGGAAACTCAATAAATATTTATAATCACAAGTTAATTATTAACATCTTAAAGTATTCCTTAATAAATTAAATTTTTAGAAATGCCACAAATCCCCATTATTGGAAAAAAGTTAAATACTACGAAAACAACACACCAATAATCATATTATTTACTGGTTTAAAAACTTTTAAATTTCCCGATGGTGATAAAGTTTTCTTATCGTGTGATATTATTGTAAGGGTTTTTTAAAATTTATTTTTGTATAAATGTGTTTATTATTTTTGTTGTAGTTGTGTTACAAAAAGTGCTTGGAAGGTAATCACTTGGTAAATTAAATAATTGAATTATAACTAAAGTGATTACATTATAGATAGTTTTATAAATACTTCTCACGTGGAACAAAATAAATAATGCACTTGTGCATTTTCCTACACGTGTGAAAGAAACCTTTTATGTAATCTGCTTAATAAACGTAATGCCATAAATTTAAGCTATTCGAAGGGTTTGAAACATCCTTAATTATCTAAAAAAATATTATAATATAAATTCAATAAAAAGCAACACTTTTTCTGGTCTTTTTCAATTTATTGTCAGTTTATTGTAAACTCAGATTGACGGGCACTAATGGTATGAACACATAAAAGAGACAAAGAGTTGTTCTTTGGTGACGTGGGTATGCATACAAACCTGATTTTCTTTAAAATTTAAAATAGATTTTGAAATGAAATGTATTTTTTGGATGTGAAGTTATATTTTGTATTTCATTATAATTAATTCGAGACGTGGATGTGCATGGGGATGTTATTTTAAATAGATGATTAATGTGGATCGAATGGGTTATTAAGGAATTTGTATAAAGGACGTTTATTGATATGAACTTGATCGTTAAGGCAATTTATATGGTTGTTTTTCAATTTCGTAGGTTTCCAGTAAATTCAGTTTAAATCCTTTGTTTTCTTTTGTAGCGTACACAGCCTACCTTCACATAGAAATTTTTAACTTTTATCAAATTACCTAAATTGCTATGTTACCATTTTTTAATATTTGATGTAAAAACATTTCAAAATCATTCTAATACAAACTTTTAAAAAAGAGTTTTATTATTTAACCACTACTCTTTATTTTTTTTTTATATTATTTTTTTTATACCTCTAATATAATGGATCTTTTAAAATTCAATATGGATATAACCTCGTCTACCATCCATAAATATAAAAAAGTCTACAAACGTATTAACATCGTCAAAAACCACATATTCTACGTTAACTCTTGTTTAAGGGGAAACCTTACACCTAATTTCGCCTTAGTTAAATCTAAAAACATCAACATTAAACAAAAAACAGAACTCGAGAGAAGCATATTAGAGAAACAACGCAGAAAGCACTTCCAGTCAATAGATTCTCTCTATACAAGACTCGCTTACCTGCACCGTGAACTCAGTCTACATTTCCACTTTCTTGAAATGGAAGAAATTATAGTCAAGAATAGGGAAGAAGCCTGCCTATGTAGTTATGATGACTTCACCAGTAAAAAACGAAAATTACACCTTTTAAGAACGAAAAAATTCCATCAAGAATGCCTACCCTAAATAACATGAACCAAAGGCTACTCAGACAGGGAAAGCACTTTTACACAAGAATAACGACAATTTAGCTGATGCAAATAAACATAACGAACTTAAATACACTACCAATCTTACGAACATACAGTTCAATGCCGATGAAGTCGACATACTTAACAAAGGCCACAAATTCCCCATCCAAACTCAAACAGACATCCATTTAACAGCCATAGACATTGATTGTGTCATCAACAAATTACCCAATCGCGACAACATAAAAAATGACATCATTCCTATTCTGAAAAGTTATGAAAAGTCATGCTGCAATAAAAGGAGATCACTTAATCAGAAGAATAATATTGAAAACCTTCGTATTCAAACTGCCATAAAAACTATAAAACAAAAATTATCTAGCAACAACGCACTATACGTGAAAGCAGACAAAAATGCAGGCACAGTTATTATTGACAAGGATGAATACAACAAAAAAACAATTAATTTCTTAAAAGAAAATGGTTACAAAGAAATTAAGAAAGACCCATTAAATTCAATAACAGCTAAAACTAAGAATGTCATCAATAAACATAAAGATACTATCACAAAGCATGGTCAAAACCTATATTTTCTAATGCCTATGAACTGCTTCATACCACAACTTTATTCTTTCATAAAACTCCATAAGGACAATTTACAAATTAGGCCTATAACCACATGTTTTGATTCTCCTACCTCTAAAATTACTGAATTTATGTATGGCATTTTTAAACAAATTGACTATAAACCAATACACTCTCTGAAAAACTCATTGCAACTCATCAAAAACTTAAAACATATTTCACCTAATAATAATACACTGGTATCCTTCGATGCGGTCAATATACAGGGTGATTCATAAGTAATGGGCCAAATTGTAAATGTACGTTCAGGAGGCCAAAATAATAATATTTTAACACAGGATGTTAAAGCGAAAAAAATAAAATAGATTTTTGTTAATAGATCAGCTACTTTTCTACATAATGACTCATAGTTGACTTATAGTTTTTGTAAGGGTAAATAATCATGTGTGAGAGGATTTGAGTTAACTCGTAGATGTCATCTCTAAATACTGTCATCCCTTATGATTCGTTCCATCCCAACAACTACAAATTAGCTGCTTTCCAGGCTTTTATTGTCAGACTATTGAAATATCCTCTAGACTATACATCCAGACTAAAAGAACTGAATTTTATTAACAGATTAGCAAAAGAAAATGGTTATCCAAGTTGTACCATCGACCAATTACTGTATAAAAACCTCATAAAACTAGACCCTTTATACTCTACGAATAAAAATAACTTTGACAATTATAAGACAATAACATACAACAAAATAAACTGCAAAATTAAAACCATACTACAAACCTATGGTGTATTTGTCAGCTTTAAATGTAAAGGACAACTGGGTGATTTCATTTGTAAGTACAAACAAAAAGAAAACGCTTTGGATTGTAGTGGTATCTATTCTGTTAAGTATTTTACTGTGACATTTTTATTCCTTTTTGTAACCGGTTTTTAAATTTAGTTCGATGTTGATTTAACTGTCGTCTTTGGAGTTCAATTGTGCACGGTATTGTGTCTTTTTGTTTGGAATTGTTATTTTCGTGTTTCTTTTAAATAATGTTTTATTTTAACGTAGAAATTTGTTTGTTCAGCGTGATTTTTTAACTATTTGACTGTAAGTTGAGATATGTTTATGCAATTTTATTGTTTTTTTTATATATTTTTAAGATCACTATAGTTATTATATCTTTTTGTTGATTTGGCTCATGATGACATCATAATATGTCGAAACTACAAGTACGTCAAGTACATAAACTTAATTAATAAAAAACTTTAGAGGTCAAGAGGCCTACTTATTATTACTTATTTCATTTCAACTACTCTTTATATTTGTATAGTAGAGAAACATTCTTTTGTTTATCAAAATTATGATTATTATTCAGTACGTGTCTACCGAAATTTGAATTTGGATTGAATGGAATCTTTGCTTGATGGAGCGACCCGTTTCACCTATATAGGTAGATCCACAAGTGTTACATTCCAATTTGTACACTCCACTCTGATCCATCATTTCTGTCTTATTTTTGGCATTAAATAGTAAGTTTTTCAAAGTTAAATTATTTTGAAATGAAATTTGAATATTATATTTATTGAACGTGGTTTTTATTTTGTTGGCTATGTATCCTGGACATTGTATTGATCTGTAAGATGTTTTTCCTTTTTCTGAAAGGGGTAACAATGCAGTGCATGTGTCCATACCATTAGTGCCCGTCAATCTGAGTTTTACAGTGTTGTTTTATATTTTAATGTAAAAACATTAACTTTTAACCTACATTTTAATGTTTTTATATTTATAATTTTAACTTGTATACTTTTATGAAGCCGTTTATATGAACAACAAAATGGAAAGTGAGTTGTTAAAATCTAATTTATATTACTAAGTAAGTACCTGTAGTTCATTTTAAGTTTATTTGTATTATATTAATTGTAATAATCATTTTCATTATAGTGTCTCTGATGATGGCGAAAGTCGAAACCGGTTAGACAATAAATTGAAAAACACCAGAAAAAGTATTGCTTTTTATTGAATTTATATTATAGAAAATAACTGGTCAACATAGATCGAACTCTCTTATCTAATTATAAAGAATATTGTGTGTGAGTTTATCATTATTAAGATTTGATTTTTCTCAGCATTCAAAAAGTGTTTCAAAATATTCACAGTTCTCTATACTCTTTACTTTGGTTTAGGCTTTCACGGTCGGTGTTTACTGAACTAAAATTAGATCTAGAACGAGGAACTTTCAGATATAGCTGTATTCACGAATACGTGAGGGAAGGATATTAACAAACAAATCAAGGAGTTTGGACAACTACCGGATTAGACTCATTATACGACGCAAGCTATTAAGCAGGGTGGCCTTCCTACGAAGATACAGAGTGGAGAAAATAACACCAACCTCCCTCACGGTATAGCACCACATCGACTCTACTGCGACCTGTAAAATTTTGATTGTGACAAATTAAGCTGACTGTAAAAACTGACTTCTACAGATTTACTACAACAATGTAGTACTTTTCTTGTCATAAAAAATGATACAATTGTATTAATTTCTAATACATCGTTTGTCTATACATACACAACACGATTATACTGACTCATCGCTTTGTAGTACAGAAGTTATGTTAGTATTTACTACAATGTATAATATGCTGTTTTCAATGACAATGAAAGCAGTCGGTGTTAATTTTTAATATATTTTGTATTAATATTTAAATAAAATATGTCGTACATTTTCTGCTATTTTATGTAAAAAAACTGCTGTAGCGTCATGTCTACAAAATCCAAAGCCCTAAAAGGATATTTTAATTATCAAACTATAAAATAAATATGTCAAGGACTTTAGGGAAATGGATTTTGCAGGTGAGTCTCTTTTTCCTTCCTTGACGTTCTGAGGTTGTCAATTAAATGAGCATCAATTCAACCATTTTCTTTACAATTTTTCTAAAATATAGTCAATATGCAAGATATCGAAAGTGATCAAATCTATAATATTGTTAACAAACGTCTTCCTCCCTTCTGGACAACTAAATCTGATACTTGGTTTAGACAAATCGAAGCACAATTCGAATTGTCACATGTCACTAGTGACAAAACCAAGTACATTTTAGTTGTCACTCATTTACCCACAGAGGTTGTAAACACCGTCGTTGATATAATCAACGAGACTCCAGAGCGATACCTATATGCAAATTTAAAGAAAATCATCATCAATGGTCTTTCTCTAAGCGAAGAAAAACGATTGAACGACCCTCTCTCGAATATGCACATGGGAGAACAAAAGCTTTCAGATTTCTACCGAGAACTTTTATCCAATAGAGCCAGTTC